TGAGCTATTATTTCACCTGGGGTCACCGGGGGCCATTTGGGAGTGCTTCCAAGCATTACTGGAGAAGGGGGTACAATAACATCCTCATACATACTTGTAAAGTGGGATACCCATTTATCTGGTGGAATACAAGAGGATAATGGGTGTTTGGGCTCTGATAGTCTGCCTGAGATTAGTTTCCAGAAAAGGGATGGATTTTTGGCTTTTGCTGCTTCAATCACCTTCCTCCATAGTTCTCTCGTGTGTTCTCTTTTACTGTGATGTATCTGCTGTTTGTATTCTTTCTTATGTACCAGTAGTTTTAGGAGGACCTCTTTTTTGACATGGTCTTCTGCTCTCAGGTATTCCTGGTATGTCTGATTAACTAATTGTTTTGCTGCCTTACAGCTTTGGTTGAACCAAGGTTTGGATCGGTTATATGAATTCTGAAGGTTTCTGCTATATGAGTGGACGAGATGTGGCTGTAATTGTTGTAGGAGAATTTCATCTTTATCTATGGGATTCCAGTGGACTGTCTGGCTTCCTACTGGATTAAGGGCATCAATCAAATTTTTCGAAGTTAAAAGTTGTTTTAAATTTTGTGCCAGTTTAGGTGACCATCTTACTCGGCAACCTACTCTTTCTAGTGCTGTAATTTCAGTATGATATCTTGGTTCTGTGTCTAAATCTCTGACGTTTAGGTGGAAACTTAGATGTAGGGGGAAATGATCCCCCTCCATGTAAGGAAGTACTTGGAGAGTTTTGACCATGGAAAGGAGCCCCCTGCACACCAGGATGTAGTCAATTGTACTAGCTTTAGTTGCTGCCATAAATGTATATTTTCCTGGAGTATCACCTGTGATTGTGCGATTTAAAACTGAGAGGCCCAGTCTGTAGGCAAATTTGTACAGACAGGCCCCGGCATAATTTGCATGTTGGTCCTTAGATGCCCTCTCCTGATTCAGGGTCCCCACATTATCATTTCTTATGTTGGCTATCATCTTAAATTTGGTTCCCAGATAGTCATCATCTGGTCCCATACGGGCGTTTAGATCCCCACCAGTCAGGACCAGAGCATCCGGATGTTCCATGATAAGCTCTCTTACATAGTTTTCAAGGTCTGTCCAGTTTCCTTCTGTTTCAGCTTTTCTGGATGTGGGAGGTAAGTATATGTTAATAATCAATAGGGTTTTCATACTTCCTGTAAGTACTACTGCCATGGCCAGCTGTCTCAGGGGGGGTTTCATCGTAGATTTCACTTTCAGAGCCGTTGATACCAGGATGCTCAGTCCCCCCTTCAGTCTCCCCGGTCCGCGCCCTGGGATTGCCTTTACCATGAAAGAGTTGAAACCATCTAGAATTATATCTTTGTCAGACCAAGTTTCTTGCAAAAGAATGATGTCATATTTGCTACGAAAGAAAGGAGTATCATGGGTTTGGGAGATACATCTGGTCCAACCTGCCACATTCCATGATAAAAGTTCAATTTTAGATGCAGATGTTTGGTTGCTTTCTGGGGCACACCGTGATTCTTGAGTGTCTGGTGCCTCATTTCGCTCCTGAATGTTCAGTTGTTCTGCCTTTGGGGTCATTTCTCCTCTTGTGGCAGAGAGCATTTTAATGGGGTTCCCTTCCTTGTATAACGTTAGCTTCTCCAGAGCAGGCAGGGATACATCTGATGACTGACATCCTCTGTAGGTGAGGGGAGCAACTGGTGTGGGAAAAGGATAATCTTTACGGGCCCAGTCTTTGTTGTTTTGATTTCTTTGTGTCTCTCTGCTAAAGGGATATCTTTCAGCTCTACCCAGGTAGGTAGTCGTTGTTGTGTTTGGAACTGTGGTATCTTTGTGGAGTTGGACTTTTTGTTTGTTTTCCCCCCATGCAATATTCCTGGACAAAGGCTTCTTAAGATGTTTATATTTTTTGCCTTCCAATAGTCAGTTCTGGGGATAAGCTACTAAAGGGGCATATCTATTGCCCATATGCCACTCGGAGGTGGAGTCGGAAATAGTTCCCATTGAGCAGGCTGGATGTAACTTCTCTTTGTATGGATGGTATATTCTATTTTTTCTGGAGGATGTAATACCTTTTGAAAGATGCCTTGGCCTTGAGAGCATTTTCACCTGATTACTCTGGTTTTTGATTTTGCTTGTAAGATCACGAGGCTTGTTAATTGGGATATTGTTTGGGAAGGTTGCAACATTGATCTGCGTTTCCTTTCCTCTGCCATCTGATTTGGTTTTGGAAGGTGATCTGTTGTAAATGGTGGAAGCTTCAGCCCTATCTCTGTACAGGTCATAGCTAGGTTTTTCGGCTGTTATCTTCCTTATGGAAGCGGCTGTGGGGCCATCTCTTTGTTCTGGAACCTGAATTTTTCTGGGTGTATTTGTTAGTTTGTAGGTGTCCAATTTTGTGATCGGTCTTAGGTTGATATTTGAGTAAGTTGTATGTATTCCCCATTTGAAAGATACTGCTATTTTTTCAAACTTGTACAACAGGCTCCAAAAATGATGGGCCTGTTCACTATTGGCGAAGATCAAGTGCACCCTGCCTCTTAGTTGCCCGGGCTTGCTGGGATAGATGCAGTAACATTTTGTGTTCATTTGAGCATCCCAATCCTTGCCCAGAATTTCTGTTATTGTCCGCAATACTTCTGAGTTGGAGGCCCAGGTGCCATTTGGTTTTCTTAGTGGCCAGTTGTAGATGGTGATGTGGTTCACAGGCTTGAGTGATGGGCTTTCAGCAGGGGTGGACCCTTCACTGTCTGAGGTTGCTGACCATTGGGGTTTTTTAATCTGTATATTTTCCTTGCATGTTGTCACAGCAAGTGGATGCTGGGGATAGGGTTCTTCTGGGGTGTTTCCCCACCATTCGTCTATGGTTATTAGCTCTAGATTAGAGGATGTTAGGTCAGGTCCCTCTGTGTCCTCTGTGTCCTCATTTCGCTCATATGGATCAGCCCAGGCCTTTGGGGTCTTCCCAGAGATGGGCATTCGGTCCTGAGTTGCTTTTTCTGATAACTGTGGGTAACTCTGACCTTTAAAGGCTAGGGAGTTATCTTTGTGTGTTTGATCTTTTGTACCCAGCTCCTTTTTTGCCTGAAGTCCTCTCTGTTCAGTATTCTGAGGGTTTGAGGGGGGTGCTGCTTTTAAAATCCCCAACTTTATCATGTCAGCAATGCATTGTAGTATTGCTTTAGTATCAGCGATTTCTTTCTTTAGATCATGCAGATTATTGAAAATTGTCTGGTTGGATTTAGCTGAGAGGAGACACTGATCACGTAGTTGGGTGTAAATAATCCTAGTTTGTTCACTCTCGGGCCCTTGAGCATCTTGGGGGCCTACTGTTCCTTCCATATGGTTCTCCTTAGGCCCAGGTGTTGATAGATTTAAGTATTTATAGAATGATTCCATAGAGGCAGAGAGAGCCTTCTCTAGGAGTTCTGGGTCCAGAGACCAATTGCCAATTTCTCCTCCGGAGTGCGGAGTTCCGACTGCAGCCCCCTGGTATGTCTCTCCATTACTTATGCCTACATTGTCCGTAGTAAGTGGGGTACTTGATGTAAATTCCCTCAGCGGCCTTTGATTATAGGAGGGTACATGTTCACGTTGATCTGAGACCACACAGAAGTCTGCTATAGATTTCTGATTTCGCTTTTTGGGAGCCTTTTTTAACTTGCCATAGGTTTTTTTGGTCCTAGTGGTGACCATAGTTATACTCCACAAATTAAGCTTATTTAGTGTCCCCTTCTACTTCTGCAGGTGCAAACTACCACTCAAAGGGAGAAGAATGTGGGTTTCACAGTTACGGTCAGTAGTAGCTGTATAAAAACACTTCTTAGCTCCGGTAAACACTCAAACATAAACCATTAAAGGGGCAGGTTGTTCCACCCGTTCCTTGGAGGACTTTTACTCACTGTGAGTCAATTGTAGATTGACGGAGTCAGCGGATCCGCCCCTGCTGTATGCCAAACAACCCCCGAAGGCAGATGGCTTTTCTTAAACAAAGTAAATGTTTTTCTTGCAGACTTGATTCAAGCAGGTGCTTACTGTCCGCAGTAGCGGTGTTATTTTCTTCTGTTTTCTTTCCAAGGCTGCAGTTGTGTAATTCTGTCGTACAGAGGTATTTCTAATATCTCTCGGCAGCTCCAGTGGTCATTATCTCTGTGTTTACTTTTACCAAGGTTAAAATCATGCCTTCAGCCAAGAAGTAGAATAGGAACTTCAACTAAACAAAAGCTATAAAAACCATATAAAATTACATAAAATAAAGATAAAATCACCGCTGTGTAGCCATGAGCGTCTTGCCTGGCTGAGCTGGAACCGGAAGCCTCCAAATCCAACAGAATGGCTAGCTGATTATTTTAAAAGAAGCTATCATTCCCCTATGCATGTAACCCTTCAAAGTCTATGCCACCAAGCTATCTGAGAAATTTGCCACAAAAATGCCTCACTCTCTTGCAAGGCAAGGAGAATAACCTTTATAACCTTACTAGTCCTCATCCTTGTATCTGAGGATGTGTCAAGTGAGGATTTTCATTCCAGATGAAGGCTAAAAACAAGACTATCTATCTGCTAAATTTATTGGTTTTGAAAACTATGCCAGGAAAGACTAATCCTTCTCAGCAGTATGTAGCTTCAGAATATACCCATATATTTATGGATATGCACATCTGTTATTCTTAATGTATGTGGAACAGCATCTCATCCCCAAAAGCTCAGCTGTTCTGCAGCCCCCACAGCACTCCTGGAGAATCTATCCTCTAGAACTATAGATTCAAAAAGTTAACTTTAAACACACACACACCCAACAACATGATCTGTTCTTCTTTCCTGCTGTACAAGGGACTACATTGGCAAAGGAAACGGGATATGTTTTGGGATTAGGACAGTCAGATACATATTATTTTCTGCTGAGTACATGATATACATGTAAATTGCCTCAGATCTTTTCTCCCTAGTCTGTATTTTTTCCTTCCACCACTGGGGCTTCTACTTTTTCCCCCAATCAAATGCCTTTGCATTGGTTCAATCAGTGTGAATGCTTCTGTTGATGCTACCAAGTGACCAGGAGCCGATACTGTCCATCACAAGGTTACGAAATATGTAACCAAAGTTGCCACTTGAACAGTGTGCAGGTCAAGCTGTTCATGTAAACCATTCAATTCCATGATCTCAGCCTTTGTTATGAACTAAAGTCCTATAAAATAAGCTTATATGTTTATCATATTAAGATACAGTAAATTGATCTTAGTAAATAGCTCTGCTCATCTCCATTCTGCAGAATTATATCCTAATAGTTTTTACCCTTGTCAAAATGCAATCTTGTGTCCTGCATTGGTGTTATCTTTTTCTCACAGATACTAAAAGATGAGACCTGACAGAGGACAAACTAAAAATTTTTTAAAATAGCACTCCTGGAGAATTCATCCTTCAGAAATATAGCTTAAAAATTAACTTCAAAATCCCCCCCCACCTGCCAACATGATGAGTTTTCCTTTCCTTGTGTAGAGGGTGACTACATTGGCAAATGAAGTGCAACAGGTTCTGGGATTGCGACAGTCAGGTTCGTATTATTTTCTTTTGTACACATGATATAAATGCAAATTACCTCAGAGTTTTTCTCTCTGCTCTGCACTTTTTATGCTGGGGCTTCTCCTTTTCCGCCAATCAAAAGCCTTTGTATTGGTTCAGGTGGTGTGAATGCTTATGTGGATGCTATGTGTGACATTTGTGGGAGTGAGTATACTTTCGTCTCCAAATAATTTTTAAAAGACATTGTGCTAGTGCTGGTGCACTAGAGGAGCTAGGAGTGGGGGAAAAGGCCACGTGGCAGTCCACCCTTGTTTGCAGCTTGTTAAGGTAGCTCTACTGTGACCATTCTTTCTTCCGATCTGTAGCAGAGTCACATTGACAAAATGCTAACACCTGCAGATTGGCAATTTCCTCTGCTCTTTCTGCTGCTAAAGTGAATTCATCCAAGGAATCTCAACTTCCTGCATGTAACTCCACAATGGATCATCTTGCATTTTTTTTCCTGCTGTGTAGTCATGCTCTTAATTCAAGCGGTTATTCCTTTTCTCTTTTCTAAACCAACCACAAGAAGCCAAAAGAGCCCATCCCCTTTTTATCTCCCAAGACCAGACTGACCTTTGTGCTTGATATCAAAGAGCCGTTGCTGCCAGAAGCTTCGGAAAGGAGCGATCCCTGTTCCAGGGCCAATGAGGATGCAAGGAACCTGCGGATTTTGTGGCATGTGGAATCCAGGAGCTCTGGGTGAAGAAAAGGCATTGCATTGTCAGGTAAGCAGGTTTATATTATGTTAGATGCCATCAAGTTGGAACTAACCTAAAGTGACCCTAATAGGGCTTCCAAGGTAAGTGAGATATTTAAGGAGTGGTTTTACCAGCTCCACTCCCCCAGCGGGAGTGGATTCAGTGGGGAGTGGCTGAGTTGGGTTCAATCCCTCTATTCCACTATAGCACACTGGCAAGTTTAGCTCCACATAATTCCAATAAAGGCAATGTAAGTCATAGGAGCAGCATATTGGTGAAGCAAAACGTTGCTTCCCTACCCATTTCTGAGAAGATAACAGCGAAAGACTGTTTCCATCATTAAGATTGCTAGATGAAACATTATCAAGGTATCCTAATAATCTTGAATATGTTTTGTGCCCTTTTTGTTGACCTAATATATTATAGTTAAATCAGCCTACACATCACCTGGCAGGACAAATTTCCAAACAGAGTAGTCCTAGAACGAGCTGGAATATTCAGCACGTATACATTACTGAAACAGCGACGTCTATGTTGGCTTGGGCATGTCGTGAGAATGGCTGATGGTCGGATGTCAAAGGATCTCCTGTACGGAGAATTAGTGCAGGGAAATCGTCCCAGAGGGAGACCACAGCTGCGATACAAGGATATCTGCAAGTGGGATCTGAAGTAGAGTAGACATGGTCTAGGGGGCGGGGAAAAAATCAAATAAATAAATAAATAAAATGAAGGCCTTAGGAATGGACCTCAACAGATGGGAAACCCTGACATCTGATCGTTCACCCTGGAGGCAGTGGCCACTCCCAATTTGAAGAGACCCTTGTCCAGCAGGCCGAGGCAAAGAGGAAGCCACAAAAGCATCAAAACCAGGGAGCTGGACAGGGGACAGATTGGATTTGTCTTCAGTGTGGAAGAGATTGTCACTCTTGAATTGGCCTCTTCAGCCACACTAGATGCTGTTCCAAGTCCTCCATACAGAGCACGACACCATAGTCTTTCAAGACTGAAGGATGCCTAACTAACTTTGCTTGTTGTATCAAACTTCATATATAACCTTTGCTTGTTGTGTTTTCAAACCAATGCCACAAGCTGGATTTTACAGTCTAAGCTATCTTGGAAGTCTCATTGTGTTAGACAGAGCTTGCTCCCAGGAAAAGGGTGCACATACTAAATCTGGTTCAGTCACGCAGGCTATGGCATGATTATAGCCAGGTGAAATGCCATATATTCCTAACTGACTTTTAAACCTCCTGCTTCTCATGTTTTAACAACAACAAGAAATACATTTGTAAAGATACACAAGGAAAATATATGGATGATATTATAATAAGAACTGAAATGATTAAGAGGCAAGTACAGGCTATAAAAAACTGGAGTGCACCTGGTCCGTATGAACTGCATGGATTTTAGTTAAAGCATTTAACAAAACTCCATCAATGCATAGCAGTGCAATTTAATCACTTCCTTCAAAATTCCACAATTGAAGATTGGATGACAACAGGCTGCACATTTCTGATAATAAAAGATCATCAAAAGGGCTATGAAACCAGCAATTCTCATCCAATTACGAGAACAATGTTCCAACAATGTTCAAGCTCCTCACAGGAGTACTTGAAAGAGTAATATATAATTATTTAACTGAAAGCTCCTTATACCCAACTGAAAATAAAGAGAACTTTAAAAAACCAAAAGGCACGAAACATCAGCAGCTTATTGACAAAATGATACTAAAGAAAGCAAAAAAGATGAAAAATCTTAACATGACCAGGATAAACTATAAAAAGGCATTTGACTCATTGCTATACAGTTGGATTAATAAAATTTTTCGGATTAATAAAAATATTTAGAAGTTCCTCAAGAAAACATCAAGAAATGAAAAATTATCTTAATAGCCTCTAGTGAAGAAACTGGCAAAGTTAACATCAATAGAGGAATATTTGAAGGAGATTCGTTGTCACCACTGCTGTTTAACATCTCACTCATCCCCATGTCAATTATTTTAAACAGAACGAGACTGGGCTACCATATTTTAGAACAAGCAGAAAAAAAATCAATCATCTGTTATACACGGATGACCTAAAACTACAATATATGCCAAACGTTTTATGGAGATTGAATGACTGCTAAACATAGTGTGAATATTTAGTGAAGATATTCAAATGAAACTTGGAATTCACGAGTGTGCAGCTCTATCTATACACTGTGGCAAGATCAAAAAACTAGATGGAATATAGTTTTTAAAATGCCGATATTATAAATCACTATCAAGTGATAAAAATTATAAATACTTTGGAATACTAGAAGCAGATAACATCCTACACACAAAAGTTAAAGAACTGACAGAAAGGGAACACAGTGGTGCCTAGCACAATGATTGCTTCATACAACGATGAATTCACACAGCAATGGGTTTTTTTGAGGAATTTCCCCCATCGTTTAACGATGTTCTCTATGGGGGAATTTCACTTAACGATGTCCCTTTTTGCTCATTTAAATGTTTTGCTCATCTTAAAATGTTTGAAACCTGTTTTAAATGCTTGGATTCCATAGTGCACCTTGTGAAACATGTGCAGACTTAATTTGGTTTTGTTCTGAGTCTTCATTAATTTTTGGTGATTTTTTTATTTTCCCCATTTAAATCAATTGAATGGACAGTTCAATGCATTTAAATAGGGAAAACAAAAAATCACCAAAAATTAAGGACGACTCAGAACAACACCAAATTAAGTTTGCATAGGGTTCAGGAGGTGGGCTAACGATTGCAAGCATTTAAAACCTGTTCCAAACATTGTAAGGCACTTTTACAGGAGCGAAAAAGGACTTCGCAAAGCCATTGAAATGTATTGAGTCGGCTTCAATACATTCCAATGGAGGAAATATTGTTTCACTCAACGATGTTTCCTATGGGTTTTTTCACTTAAAGACGGCAATCCATTCCAATTGGAACGGATTAACCGGTTTTCAATGCATTCCTATGGGAAATGGTGTTTCACAGAACGATGTTTCACACAACGTTGATTTTTTTTGGAACCAATTAACATCGTTGTGTGAGGCACCACTGTATATCAAAAGATTGCAGAAAATCTTAAAATCAAAATTAAATGGTGGAAATAATATCGAAGCCATAAGCACATGCAAAATTCCAGTAACAGATACCCAGCTGCAATAATAGATTGGATCCAAAATGAATTAAAATAATTGGACCAAAAAATACAGAAATACTTGGCTACTACAGCTCTTTGAGTGGCGATCCATGTATCCACATAAAATGGGTGTGTGCACCCGCACGACATTGCTTTGGAAATTTCCAGAGCCTCAAAAATGTAAGTGCCCCTAGCCTTTAGCGCGCAAGTGCGGCCTTGCTCTCCTCCGTCCCAGTTTTATGCCACAAGAAAAAAGAGAAGGGGAGGACAAGAGGGGAGGTGGGTAGGATCATGTGAAAAAATTAATTAGCATTCAAAAGTAACCAAGTTTTCGTGGGTTTTGTGTATGTACACAAAATGGGTGACTAGCAAGCTATACACCGGAGGTGGGAGTTACACCAGAACAAAAGATAGCCGTTCCAAATGCAGAATCTTTTTAAGCACTGAGATCTAATCTATAATGTATGACAAATGTCATTGGACAGGACTAAGTTGCTGCTGGGAAGATCCCTTGGATGTCCATACCTCGGATAAAGGCCACAGATGAGATCACTCTTGTAGAGTGACTACGGAAGGTCCAAAGTAGGGACTTGTTTGCTAGTTTGTCAGTCAGGGCGATATGCTGAGAGATACACTTATAAAATCTTTGAGGCAAGACTGAGTGTCCTTTCTTGGGACCTTGGTAGGAGACAAGGAGTTTAGTTGTTTGCCAAAAATCCTTTGTCCTATTTAGGTAAAAGGCCAAGGCCAAAGAGAAGTTCTCAGAAGTTGTAGGTCTGAAGAAGCTTAGGAAGTGAAAATGCTGTGGGTGAAGCGAGATATGAAAGTTGTGAAGGTCTATGGATGCGAGCCAATCCCCTTGGTGAAGCAGGTGGAGTGATGAACATGTCAAGGGTGTGTAGATCCAAGATGGGGCATAACCCTCCATCCCTTTTTGCTACCGCAAAGTACAGAAGAAACCAATGGAGCTGCAGTGGAGAGGTACCCTTGAGATGGCTTCTTTTGCCAGAAGTGTGTGGATTTCCTCTTGGAGGATAGGAGATGCTGAGGTGCATCAGATACAGCCTGTGGGTGAAAGAGTGGAGAATTCTATTGTATATCCATAGGTTATGATGTTAAGGACCCACACATCAAAAGTAATAGCATCCCAAATATGGATGAACAATGCTAAATGCATATCTGTATCTGTTGTAATGTGAGGTGATGGTGGTAGCATCAAGACTGCTGCCAAGGTTTCCTGTCTGCCTTTTTGGAGAAAGTTGTTCACTTGTATTTGGCAGAGGAGGAGGCTGGTGTTGATGAGCTGACTGACTGGAGGTCTTGGACCACTCAGACAGTGACTTATAGTGAGAGTATGGCAGGGTGTCTCTTCTAATGAGGGCAGAAGTGAGAAGCTGTTGAGTGGCATGAGTTTATGCCAATTTTCTTTGTGTTGGTCTTCTTCTTGTGAAGGTCTTGCATAAAGCCATCAGTTTTCTCATTGAAGAAGCCCTCTCCGTTGAAGGGGAGTTCCTCAATGTGGGACTTGGAGTCTAGAAGCAGAACCATGTGTGTCTGTGCAGAGTGATGTTCACTGCCATGCTGTTAGCTGCACAATCTGCCACATGCCAGGCAGAGTGGATTTGCTGCCCAGCCACCACGTAAGCCTCCTGCTAAAAGGAGATGGCTAGAGACTGTTTGTCCAGTGATGGGTGGTAATGATGGTCTGAAATTTCTCCCAGATGAATTGATGGTAGGCACCCATCATGGCTTGGTAATTGGCTATATGCATGTGGATTGCCACTAAGAAATAGATCCGGCGAGCAAGCAAGTCTAGTTTGTGACTTTCTTAATTATTTGGGGTGTCATGGGTAGAGCCCCTTGATCTTATTTGGACCATTTGAATGATGACAGAGTTCAGTATGGAATGTTTAAACAGGAACTTAGCTTTGTCCTATTGGACTCTGTAGAGATTCTCAATCCTATGGGAAGTTGGTGGGATCAAGGAAGGTTTTTGCCAGGATTGGCTGATAAGATCCGTCAGAGTCTCAAGCATCGGCATTTCGATCAGGATGTTTATCTTCTTGTGGATGCAGTCGAAAACTCAGAGGGGCGGATGGGCGGGAGCCTTTATTAAGGCTGCTCACCCCATGCACTGCCTCTTTCAGCACGACCGTCAACCGAAGATGAGTAGGTGTGCGGCAAGGCACTTTTGATTTCGCCTCAAGGTCCAGAGTGCACCTGGGAATCCCGAAGGGTTGGGAGTAAAGAGGGTCCTCAGCTCCACAGTGTACTTAAAAAAAACCTACTAGTATTTAGTTAGCCTCCGGCTGGAGTGAGCCTCTTCCTTAAAATAAAAAGGGGGGAGGAGAAGGAAAGGAAGAAAGGGGGAGAGGGAAGGTACAGCTGGGACCCCTATGCCAGGCTTATGGTCTTAGGGCCTGGGGCTGACTTGTTGAGGGCAGCAAGGAGCTTCCTGAAGAATGAATGAATGACTAAATACATACATACATAAAAAAGAAGAAGAAGAGAGGAGGGATCTATATGAGATCTAAGAAAGGGCAAGGGAGTAAAAAAAAGAGAAGCAACCAGATAAGTGCAAAGCGTCCCCTCCCCCAGTTTCTACCTCTCCCTCTTCCAATGAAGAAGGTTTGCATTATTATGGGGCTATTCTGAACAAGCTGAGTATGCTGGAAATGGAGTGGGCACTAGCCAGAGAAGCAGCGGGTGCAGGGTCAGCACGAAGGTCTAGCAGGGACTTGAAGGCCCATGAGTTGGAAGAGCTCAGACAGTTAGGTAACACGATGTTGTCTTGCATTGCTGTCTTAGAGAGTGAATGTGCAGCCATTCCCGGGAGCTCCGGAGTCACGAGGGAGAGTGGCTCACAGCAGCAGGAAGCGGTGGTTGCAGGGGGTCAACAGTCAGTATGCAGAGGTTGGCGATGGAATCAGAGATGCAGACAGAAGGCGTGGGAGTACAATGGACAACTGGGCAGCAAGATGGTAATGACAAGATGGTGGTGCTGGAGCACAAGACCAGCCAGGGCCCAGTGGCCAGGCAGTAGCTGTTTCAGGAGCTGCTGTTCCAGGTGAGTCTGCCACTGCATCAGACACATCATTAGGTTCCGGAATATGGCCACGGGAACCAGCTAGCCTGGGTCATCATCACAGTTTTCTAGGCAGACATGCCCCAGTGGTGGCTAACATGCCAAGCCTGGGGAGCGGGATTCAGGTGCAAAAACCATGGATCGCTCCATATCCACAATGATCCTCCCCTAGTCAGGGAGCAGAGGTCCCTCAACTAGCAGGAATGGGGCCCCTCCCTCTGGTTCCAAATACAGGATACAACTCTGTGCCATGGGATGCTCTTCCAAGTGTGGACCAGTTGTTACCATTGGGGGACCACCTTTTACCAACAACAATAGAAAAGAATTGAAAGGACAAATTTGTAGATGTCTTTGAACTCCTGAATAGGAAGGCTGAGAAGAAGGACTCAGAGAAGAAGGGGGAGAGAGCGTAAAAAGATAAGGCAGCGGAAGCTGCTGGGCCAACTGGCTGCCAGGTTACCTTATTTATGCAGGGACAATAGTCAGGGCTCAGTCAGACAAAGCTTATTCCCTATTTCAGTATCTTGATTTCCTTGGCCACGTGTGGCTTGTTTATGATGAAGGGTTCCGTATGTGTGCAGCTATTCATAGAGACATGCATTGTTCAACATAATGCACTTTGGTTGATAATCATTACCCCAGTTCCACCAGTATTGGACAATCACTTCGACAGTGGCCACTTGGTATAGCAGGCCATTCATGGCTCGACTCTAATTAGCAGGCCAGGTGGCTCAACCCCTGCCTAGAATTTCCATGGGCCATGCAACCAGTGGCCATGCAAATTCTGGCACCAATGTAGCAATTGTAGCACTAATGAATATGCATCACACACTATACCCCAAAAGTGATGTGGACAGATTATATTTACTATGAACAATGGAGGCTGTGGATTACTGTAATACAGCAGGTAGCAGAGGAGGAAAAAAGAAGCCTAAATGATTATATTAGTACAAGTAGAGAAAAATTACTGAAGGAGGTGAAAATGGAGAATATTCTGAAAACATCAGAAACAAAGGCTCGGTGTAAGAAACAATTTGAAAATAAATTAAACAGTTGGAAAAATAAACCTGAAATATACTGATGGAAAGCATGATAATAATTCTACAAGGGCATGGCTGAAACTGGGGATCATTAAGAAAGAAACTAAAGGCTTGATTTTTGCTGCACAAGAACAAACATTCCAAACCAATCTAAGATTCAAGGAATTGGTGCTAACAGAAAATGTCGACTCTGCCAAGAAAAATATGAGATTGTGTCCCACCTCATCTGCAAATGTCCAAAGATTGCACAGATATATTACAAAATTAGACATGATAGAGTAGCAAAATTAGTGCACTGGTCATTATGCAAAAAATTATAACTTGCCAGCCCCCAAACGCCCATGAGAACATCAGGTAGAGAAGGTGTCAGAAAATGACAAATCAAGATCTTGTAGGATTTCCTGATCCAAACCGATAGACACCTTGAACATTACGCACCAGACATAGCAGTAACAGAACAAAGAAATGTCTGAATCATTGACATTGCAATTCCAGGGGATGCCAGAGTTGAAAATAAAGAATTGGAAAAACTAACAAAGTACAGAGACCTGGCAATCAAAACATTTCAGTGGTCCCCGTAAGTCATTGGGGCTTTGGGAACAATATCAAGAAATTTCACACAGTATTATAAAATAGTCACAGACCTCAAAAATAACACCATCAGAGCTACAAAACTCAGCAATATTAGTAACAGCATACATACTGCGCCAATATTTAACAGGTACTTAGGTTTTTGGTTAAAACTTGTATCTGCTATATAATACCAGTCCATGTTTTTATAATACTGATTGATTGTGTCTGGTATTTTTGAATAATAATAATAATATACCATCAATTCAATTCTGATTTATGGTAATCCTTTCCAGGGTTTCTTAGGTACAGAGTACTCAGAAGGGACTGTCCTTCTAATGGGGGGGGGTGCTACACAAGTTGGCCCTTCTCTCAGAAAGCACAGTGGGGAACTAAATGCCCAACTGATAGTGCCCAACTCACTGAGTTATCCAGCCAAGCTTACCCTCTGACAAAACATGGCACCACTTCATCTTCCTGTATCTGGTTGAGCCAGGAGGAACAGACTCCATGGTGCATTGGCCCTTCTCCATCTAGAAAAGTGAAGAAAGGAGATTAATTGATAACCACAGTGACATTTTTTTTGCAAATACTCAAAGCTGCTTACGAGCTGACCCATCAATCTGAGTGATTGGTTGCCATGTATTGCAACCAAATCTGCTGCCAGCTTTCAAGCCTCCAATTAGATTACCTCTGGTGCGGTAGGAGACTACAGCCACTGTGAGGTGGACCTCATCAGGGTACATGTCAGGGGAGGAACTAATAGAGTAGTAACGGGGCTGCAGCAGTGGCAGTTGGGTCAAGAGGAGGGTAGAGGGCATCTGCACCGATGGGAACTCTTCCAGCACTTCGACCATCGTGGGATTCTTGGACCATTTCCACTCTTCATATTCCTGAAGACCCTGCATGAGTTAGGAGGCACGTTAGCTCAGGACCTTGCCCTTCCTGTACAGTTGCTGAAAACATGGGGGTGGGGGGGTATAGCAGGGAACACGTGTCCCCCCCCACCTTTACATGTTGTAGTCCAAGAAGTAAATTCCAAATTCTTACAGGGGAGAACTGTTTGGGATTTACATTTTGGACCACAACTTACAGCAACCCTTAGAAACAGTAGGCAGAAATGATTCTCCTTGTTGTGCCTACTGTCTATTGCCCAGCCAGCTTTCCATGGCTTTGGGTATGTTATAACTGAGACCATCATTTTCAGCTGGTTCTACACTCACAAGCTTGAGTAAAGTGCTTTTGTAACACATACACAGTTATATTCTGGAAATAAAATCTCGTCCATAAAATCTACTCCAAAGCTCAGCAATAATTTCTTAGAAATTTGTTAGCCTATATATTTTCAGAAACAAATATATATGAAAATTTGTGATTTTAATTGTTAAAATATCAAATGCTGCTCTTTTAATGTCTTATCTTAAAGCATTGAGTCCTTAGAGTCATATTCAGCAATTCCAAATTACACTTAAAAGTAGAATAGTTTAATGATTTAAAGAAATAATTTGCAAATTAATTGAGGTATTATGTTTTAACATCAACAAGTTTTTAATGGCTTGACATTAAGAGGTTAATGTAACTGCAGACTTTCCCAAGTTGTCTTGCAATACAGACTTCCAAACTACCCAGTGGAAGGATATCATTTTTGACACATAACTATGTATGAAAGAACAGTGTGTATCTTCCACCCTTTAAATACGAAAACAGAGCAACGTGAAAACAGGGGTGATGGGGAGATACATTACTTTCCTGGCATCTTCTTCTGTTCAGTCCTGACTGTACTTACCCTGCTGAGAATCTGTAAGTGCTTCTTCTCCTTGTCACTAGTGGCCAGTAAGGCAAACTGTTGCAACAGGATTGGTGTGGGAGGGGTTGTGATGTCCAAATAATATTTGAATGCCTGGAAAATGGTGCAGGGTGGTATGCGGTTCTCATCTGTCCAGTTGCTGATGACACCTGGGGAGACAACATTCAATATGAAATTTATTAACTGTGGCATGATTAGTAAGAGCAAGGCATTGGGAAATAAAATACAATTTTCAATTAAATGAATGGCATAAAAAACTTAGAATATAGCCATTAATAACAAATTGCCATGTAATCTTAATAACAATATTTTTATAGGTATTTGGAGAGAATCTCTAGATTATGTCATAAAGGGGAAAAGGTTGCGCACCATCGCAGGTTTCAAGTTCTGGATGTGGTGGGAAACTTGCCAGATTTCCAAATGATCCTGGGGGGAACACCTTATGTTATATTGTTTGTTATGTACATTCTGTTGATAATGAATGACTTCTCTATATAGTTTTGGTTGTTATATATTCAGTTATCTGGGGATTTTGTGTATGTGTGTGTGTTGTAATTGTGAAATAACAGAAAAATAAATTTTCCTTGATTGGATAAAGACCCAGAAGAATGGTTCTTTTTGTGTACTTCGTATTTTTAGAGTGAAAGTGAAAGTTTGCAAGAAGAGCAGTTTTTCTTGCTCAGTTGCTGTTTGAAAACCTAAGTATGTTGGGTATGTGAAGGTAAAGGCAAAGGTTCCCCTTGACATTTTTAGTCCAGTCGTATCCGACTCTAAGGGGTGGTGCTCATCCCGTTTTAAAGCCATAGTGCCAGCGCTTGTCCGAAGACAGTTTCCGTTGTCACGTGGCCAGCGCGCCTAGGGAACGCCGTTTCGCACCGAGGTGGTACCTATTTATCTACTCGTATTTGCATGCTTTTGAAATACTTGGCGAGGAGCTGGGACAAAGCGACGGGAGCTCATTCTGTCGTGTGGATTCTATCTTACGACACTGGTCTTCTGACCCTGCAGCACAGGCTTCTGCGGTTTAGCCCACAGCACCACCATGTCTCTTGTGGGGTATTTTCCCAATACTAAAGTATGTATTCATTTAAAAAAATGTCTGAAATCAAACTAAAAGATTAATAGAAACTACAGGTGGGAGCTTCATATTCATCTCTCGGGGGACATGAATCCAAAGCTTTCCAGCACAGGTGGCCAGCCTGGTTGTACCTCCCTCCCCCGAACTGGGCACCCACTTATCATTCACCACAAGGCACGTGTGGCCAGCATTATTGGGAGCATGCCATTCGCAGCAGTAGCCCAGCTCGCACTGCCTTGCTGGCTACTCCAGCGAGGGGGGGTGGGATGATGAGCCTCCCCACTCAGCTGCTGAGTGGCCATCCGAGCAGGGAGGCGGGGCAGTGCCAGTTGGGCTGCTGCCATGAATGGCACACTTTCAATGATGCCGGCCACACGGGCCATGAGGCAAGTGGTCAGTGAATGCCCAGTTCAGGGGGGAAAGGTCCAATCAGGCTGTCCACCTGTCCACTGGGAGAGAAAAATGAAGCTCTCATCTCTAACAGCAACCCCATTCACTTTATTCTCCCGTTTGAGTTCAATAGCCTTGCAATGCATATGTAGATCAGCAAAAGCCACAGTGGTCATTTTAAGTTAAGCTGAGATATATCTTAGCCATGGACAAACAAAAAGTTAGGCAGAAGTAGAGCTGTGCCAAAATAATTCTGGTTTTATCCTCCTCCTCCCCCCTTATTACAATAATAATACCTAAGCAGAAGGCAGACTTTACTACCAAAAGGGTGTAAGAAAAGAAGAAATGTGCACCACGTTGGAGGCAGTTGCACATACAGAACATAACTATGGACAGGCATGTTCCCAGACATGAGAGGGAGTGTCATTAAGTGCTTGAAAATTTCATGAAACTTGGATAGAAAACATTAACATTACTGGCAACACAATGTAGACTGAAATCAATGGAAAAATGGTGAAAGAATGAATCAACAAATATAAAGAAATAAACATACTTCATACTAAAGGGGAAACATGGTGAAAGAATGAATAAAGAAATAAAGAATAAAGAAATAAACATACTTCATACTAAAGGTAAAGAAATATTTTAAAAGATTTAAATGATAAGAAAATGAAATAACAGTGTTTTGTCTTGCCCACTAGTTCTTACATAGGTAAAAAAATCTGCGACTAACTGACAAATTTAAAAACTGCTTCCCTCATTACCTAAAGCTGTGCTCCTTTCTTCCAATAATTCAACTTTTACCAGCTGGTTGGTGGGCGGTGCATCTTCCAACCGTTCAATCAAGGCATTGACCAGTTCTTCATGGTTGCCTGGGAACACTCCCAGGTGGTCTCCAGGTTTATAATGTAGTTCCTTGTGACTGTTGGTGTGAAGCTGCACGAAGATTGTCGAACGGCTGAAGTAAGCAAGAAGGAAGGTTTAGAATATTCCACCCTATTCAGAAGTAGAGCTCGGAAACAATAATGCTAGCACATTAATGTTAAGTTGTTAAATATGAAATCATTAACCTGTTAAGTTATGTGTTGTCAAGTCAGAGCTGACTTGCAGTGACCCCAATAGGGCTTTCAAGGTAAGTGAGATATTTGAGGAGTAATTTTAACAATTCCATACCCCTAGTGTGTTTCCAAGGCTGAGCAGGGATTCGAACCAAGGCCTCCTGAGTCCTAGTCCATCACTCTATCATGTTTGTTGTTGTTGTTTAGTCATTTAGTCGTGTCCGACTCTTCGTGACCCCATGGACCAGAGCACGCCAGGCCCTCCTGTCTTCCACTGCCTCCCAGAGTTGGGTCAAATTCACATAAGTAATTTTGATGACCCTGTCCAATCATCTCGGCCTCTGTCGTCCCCTTCTCCTCTTGCCTTCACACTTTCTCAACATCAGGGTCTTTTCCAGGGAGTCTTCTCTTCTCATGAGATGGCCAAGGTATTGGAGCCTCAGCTTCAGGATCTGTCCTTCCAGTGAGCACTCAGGGTTGATTTCCTTCAGAATGGATAGGTTTGTTCTCCTTGCAGTCCAGGAGACTCTCAAGAGTCTCCTCCAGCACCACAATTCTTGATGTCCCTCGATGTGTGTCAAATGCCAAGGCAAGGTTGCCTAAATATTGAAGCCTGGGTCATCCTCCTATCTATATATATGTGGCTAAAGGGACATCTAAATCCACAAGGTCTATTTCCTCTAATATTTTACGACAACTTCCAATCCAACTGGGTCAACTCTGTCTAGAGCTACTTGTTCAAAATTGGCCTTTCCCTCAGATGCTCTTACCTTATGGAAGAATTGATCAGGTAAAAAAAAAACCTAGCAAAGCACAGAACTGAGGATACAGAACATCTAACTGAACTTTCTAGCACACAAAATATGCTATGTAGGTGATGGCCTACATCAAGAACCAAAAGAATTATTTAATATCTCTGTAAGTGAAAGGGTTTAGAAAAAGCTTCACCTTGGCAAGGTGCTTGGCCCTCCCTTCTGCTCTTCTTGAAGGGAAGTACGAGAATATTCATTTCACTGAAAGGCTTTGTACTTGTTGTGACAAACCCAGACCTACTGGGATATGCCACAGTTTCACTAAGCTGCCACCAACCATTCCCTATAAGAAGTCACACAGACCAGGGATGGATTTTTAACAAATAAAAGAACAAGGTTTATTAAATAACACACAGGGAAAAATAAAAGGATCAAGTGAATAAGATACAGTAACGTGGCTTAGTCTCAATCATACACTGACTAAACAACAACAAAATCAGTGCTACTATACGTTGATGATACAGTGATACTCTCCAGAACCCCCGCTGGATTGAGGAGGGCCCTTGGAAAGCTCTCCTCATACTGTGAAGATGAGTCCTTAACAGTCAACTACCAGAAAACCAAGAAACCCAACCAAGTCTGTCTTTGGGGGCAGAGTAAAGATTCAATCCTGGTGGATTAATGGCCACATTGAGCAAGTGAACAATTTCAAATAACTTGGGGTAGTTCACCAGGCCTCAGGCTCTAAGCTTTAACACAGTAAATATGTGGCAGATTGAGGAGAAAGATCTGGAAATAGCAGAGCAAAATTCCATCACTGTCAAGGAACGTTCTTTGTTCTAGCAGCTCTCAAACTTTATAAGGCCAAGACATTATACCAGCTGTTATATTGTTCATTCCTGGGACCACCTAGCTCTCACTCTGCACCACAGGAAGGAGTCCCGTCTAAATTCTTAAGAACTATCTTACAGGTCCCTCAATGTGTGTCAAATGCCAAGGCAAGATTGGAGACAGGTTGAAGCCTGGGTCATCCTCCTATCTATATATATGTGGCTAAAGGGACACCTAAATCCACAAGGTCTATTTCCTCTAATATTTTATGACAACTTCCAATCCAACTGGGTCAACTCTGTCTAGAGCTACTTGTTCAAAATTGGCCTTTCCCTCAGATGCTCTTACCTTATGGAATAATTGATCAGGTAAAAAAAACCTAGCAAAGCACAGAATTGAGGATACAGAACATCTAACTGAACTTTCTAGCATACAAAATATACTATGTAGGTGATGGCCTACATCAAGAACCGAAAAAATTATTTAATATCTCTGTAAGTGAAAGGGTTTAGAAAAAGCTTCACCTTGGCAAGGTGCTTGGCCCTCCCTTCTGCTCTTCTTGAAGGGAAGTACGAGAATATTCATTTCACTGAAAGGCTTTGTACTTGTCTCCTAAGGGAGGCTGAAACTATAGAGCACCTGCCTGCATTACAAAATGGCACATAAGGAGATCAACACATAATTGATCAAAAAAGTTCCTGGCCATTCAGGAAAAAATAGACTTGAGTTTCCTCTTTCTGATATAAACTCCAAGCTCACTTATCAAGTATCCAGATGTTTTATGCTGATATTCAGGTCTTGGAAATTGCACAGTAACTAGATTTTAAATAATCTTTCGATGTCAAATATTTTTACGAAGTACCTGGAATTTTGGAAATTTTAAGCTAACTAGATTCTAGATTTTAAATTGTCTTTTAATGCCAAATATATTTTTAGAAAGCATTTGGAATTTTGGAAACTGTAAACGTCTATGTTTCTCCCCCCCTCCACCATGTGATTGGTCTAAGGACCACAACAATAATCTATCATTGTAAAAGTCTAATCACATATGCTCTTAGATTGTACAGTTATCTTCCAGGTTTGGTTCATTCTCAGTGACATGTAATGTGGAACGACTGCCAGTGCCCATGAGTTTCAAAAGAAATCATGGGGCTGACAATCTAGACCAGGATATTAATCTTTATGTTGAGTTTCCAAGCTGCTTGCTCCGAGCTAGAAGTGGCATTTTCTAGGATTACAAATGGCTCCTAATCATAACATCTAATTGTGAAAAGACCAGCCAGTGTGTGGGGAAATGCTCATCTAAACTGCCACACACAGAAGCATGTCCTGAGATTTTGAGGGTTTTCTTGGTTGTAACTTCTGGACTTCTTTTCGGAAACCCATCTAGCAGTGACATTGACCTTATTTTCTTGACAGGCTGCCTGTCAGCCATTTGGGGCCCAATAAGGTATGGTCTTAGTTCTTTGTCAGGTTGCAGGTTTTTTTAAAAAATTGTTGAGTTGTTTTTAAACTATTAAAAGCCTTCGAGAATATATTTTAAAAACTTTCACGTTCTTATCAATGTTTTTGACTTGTTTTGTATCGTGAAATCTTCTGCTATAGGGCGAGCTTGAAATGTTGTAACAAATAAAGAGAAATAATAAAATAATAAAAAATAACACTAACTAACTAAATATCTGGAGCCTGTATACCACTGAATACCAGTTGCTAGGAGGAGAGGCTACTGCTTGTTGGCTTCCCAGAGCATTTGGCTGCCCACTGGAGGCAAACAGGGTCTGAGCCAGCAACTTTTAAATGGGCAGCTTCTGTAGTCCAAGTTCCCCGGGTGGCAAAGTACTTAATAAATAGATTCTTACCTGGATTTGGGGCTTTGCAGATTCTGACGTGTTAGAAGTCGGGCTGCAAAGACCCGCTTTTTGTGAATGCTATACAACCCTGCAGAAAGGGGGGGAAAAACAACAAACGCAGAGTTTTAAGAAATGGAGACACAGGATGTGAGGGGCATATAGCTTCTACACTGAATGAAAAACAGGGAACATCTGCACATTTCTCCCACTTTTGTTCTAGGATTTACACCTCCTTGCCTTGTTGATGGCCACAGATGTGTACGGCTGACACATGTACCAAATGTAGAGTCCAGAAATCTCCAGGGATGGAAATTTACCTTGTAAACAAGTTGCACTCACATCTCCCATAGTTTCTTTCTTTCTTTTAAAATTTTTTGTATGTTTCATATATATCAAGGACAACAGACAGTCCATTTACATAGTTTATCTAGCCTTCTTATTTTAACATCTGTACTATACATATTATTGTACAGTGTCATATTTTTAGAATGTGAACTCTACTCATTTTACATAGTATTTTTTTTTCAAAGTTGTTTCTATACCCCTTCTAATTTATAATAGTTAAAATAGCTTTCCCACCTTTTTTTCAAATTCTCTAACGGACCTTCTGTTTGCTTAATTTGTGAGTTTTGCCATTGTGGCATATTCAAGCATTTTATCTCTCCAATCTTCGTTTGTCGCCCATGTCCGCATTTTCCACTTTGTTGCCATTACCACCATAACTGCCGTTGACATGTAATTGAAAAGTTCTTGTGATGATTTTCCCAAATTATCTCTTGTCATTGCCAAGAGCAAGGTCTCTCGTTTCATTTCAAATTCAAATTTCAGAATCCTTTGCATTTCAGAATGAATGTCATTCCAGAATTTCTTTGTCCTACTGCAAGTCCACCACATGTGTTAGTATGAGCCTTCACCTTCTTGGCACTTCTAACAGAGACCCAAATAGTTTCTGTCCATATTTTTTATATATTTTGGAGTTATCATAGACAATATATTTTATACCAGTTTTCTCTTAAGGTTTGACTTGCAGTGAATTTTGTATTTTTTATCCATAGTTCCTTCCATTGTTGGAAGGTTATGGGTTTTCCTAAATTCTGCATCAAATTTAAAATACTCATTTAATTGGTTCAATTTCTGTTTCAAATTGAAGTAATAGTTTGTATATTTTCCTAATAACTGCTTGGTTTTTTTGCAACTAGGGCCGTAGACACGATCGCTCCTAAATGCCCTCTCCATCGCAGAGCTCGGCCAGGGGAAGTATGAGCTATGAAGCGAAAAAGGAGACGGCTAGAGTGCACTTGGAGAGAAAAACCAACGGATTATAATAAGAAAGCTGTCAGGATCGCAACTAACCATTACCTGGCTAAGGTGAAGGCTGCTACAAGATCACACTTCACTGACCGGATAAGCGAAGCTTCAAATCAGCAGGAGGAACTTTTCTGTATAGTTCGTGATCTATCTGGAATTGGTCTGGGTGATGGGCCTCCCACTAATATCTCACCTGACCAATTTGCAGCATTTAAAAAAATCTAAAGTGGAGGCCATCCGCCGGGATTTCTCTCCTTTTTTGAATACAGTGGATCGAGAAGAGATGTCCAGTGCTCTGCCTTGCCCGGTGAGACTCAAACTCTTTCAGCGATGCCAAGTGCTTGATCGCTGTTGGGCCACCTCCTCCTCCCTTGACCCTTGCCGAATGGGCCACTGCGATAATGAATGGGTCTCTCCTTGAGGGCATGGTTCCTCCTGCCCTCAAGGAGACACTCATTAGGCCCATCGGAAAGAAACCTAGTTTGGTGGAGGACGAAATTGGCAATTATCGGCCTGTCGCCAATGTTTCTTTCATGAGCAAAGTGGTCGAGAGGGTCTGGAACTTTGAATTGTGTTTTAAAAATATACGAGGGACATTATTTTATTCTGTACTAGTCAACAAATGGGAGAGTTTATATTAATATTCCTTCTTCATTTGTGTGAAAAGCAATCCAGTGGTGCTTCTGGAGTAGAAGAATCAGCCAACAAGGAGGAGATGCTGAAATGTATTCACAGTCACATCCCTTATATTCTTCAGGGAAGTTCCTCCTGCGTCCCCCCATATTTAATATTCGATACTCTATAAATAAGCACTGGGATTGCCCAGAAGCACAGCATAAAGATAAACATATTTATTTTAAAAAGTAACATTTTAAATTGTAGTAGTAACTTGAAGTAATTGTGAACTAAAATGAATAAAGAATCTTATTGCTATTAGCACAGAAGAAATCAGTTTTGGGGCAGTGGCCCTGCATAGTATATGCACCAAAATAGTGCCTTAGTTATTATAACACACATAGATGTTTTTTTTCTACAGGTTCTAAAAGCTGTGCAAAGAATGCCTTGGAGAACTAAAGATTTATGTTGAACAATATGGTAAAATTGGTTTATTGGGAATGAGGACTGCAACCTTATACTGATTTCCCTACAGAGGGATGTATGGAGATTAGTGGTGACTACGTATGTGGTTCCCAGTGTAGTGTAGTCGTGGACAGAGTGACAGGCTAGGATTCTGGACCACAGGGTTCAAATATAGCAGTTAGTCTTTAAAATACCACAACATTTTTGTCTTCTTTATTTTTTCATTCTTCTTTTATTTTTGCCTTACTGTTTAAGTGTCTGTCTTTGGTCGACACTGTGGGCTGGGTGAAATGGCTTTGCAGGCCAGACTGGGCCGTTTGGTCATTGGCTGACCCTCCTTGGCCCTATAGTCATGCAAAGGGTATGAGGAGAGCACTAATCTAAGCAAGCAACCAACATCAACATTGGGGAAACAGCAAAATGCCTTGGTCTCATATATCCAGCTCAACAAGCAGCAGCAAAATGTATTTATTTGTAAACCCCCCCAAAAATTTCACTTTTGATGCAGCAGCAAATATAAACCAGGAAAACAACCCATATATGAATACCATTTCTGTCTCCAGTGCACACAAACCCTATGCTAAACAATCAGGGAACCTAGGAATCAGGTCCTCCAATCAACACCTGATTCTCTTTTTTTCTTTAGGTTTTTTTTTCCATCTTGATCTTCTAATTTGTTGATATAATTATGTCATTGATTTACATATACTGATGGTTTTTATTTGATTGTATTTTATGTTTTATTCTTCTTTGTAAGTCGCCCCGAATAGACTCTGTCTAGAGGGGTGGGGTATAAATCGAATGAATGAATGAATGAATGAATGAATGAATGAATGAATGAATGAATGAATGAATGAATAAATAAATAAATAAATAAATAAATAATCTTCCTCTATTATCTTGAGTACCCTGTTTATATCTTGAGAGTAACTGAAGATAGCTACCCTCATCTTTCTTTTCTTCCTCTTTTATTACTAGCCAAGAATTGACCCCTCCCTGTGAATCTATCAACTCCTGAAAGGTAATAAAGTCATGTATTGTTCTCTAATGCTTATTGTAATATGCATCCATAGGATCTATGCAGGAATACAAATCAATGGATATCTGCCAGGTGATTGTCTAAATTTCTCTTGAATGCCTCCAACATTGGAGCACTCACTACCTCTTGAGGTATTTAGTTTCACTATCATAGCGCTCTAACAGGACATATTTCCTAATATTCAATCGAAATCTGGCTTCCTGTAACTTGAGCCCATTGTTGCATGTCCTGCACCCTGGGGTGATTGAGAACAGATTCTGACCCTCCTCTGTATGACAGCCTTTCAAGTATTTGAAAAGTGTTATCACATCAGCCCTCAGCCTTCTTTTCTCAAGGCTACACATGCCCAGTTCTTTCAATCTTTTCTCATAAGGCTTGGTTTCCAGCCCCCTGGTAATCCTTCTTGGTCTCCTCTGAACTTGTTCCAATTTGTCAGCATCCTTCTTGAAGTGTGATGTCCAGAACTGGACATAATACTCAAGGTGAGCCTAACCAATGCTGAACAGAGAGAAACTAGCACCTCGCAGAATTTGGAAACTATACTTCTCTTAATGCAGCCTAAAATAACATTTTGCCTTTTTTGTAGCCACATCACACTGTAGATTAATATTTAGCTTGTGATCTACGACAATCCCAAGATCCTTCTTGCCTGTAGTATTGCTGAGTCAGGTATCCCTCATCTTGTGACTCTGCATTTGGTTTCTTTTTCTAAGGTGCACTTTGCACTTATCCCTGTTGGATTTCATGCTCTTTTCAGCCCAGTTCTCTAGCTTATCAAGATCATTTTGAATTTTGTTTCTATCGTCCAGGGTATTAGCTATTCCACCCAATTTTGTGTCATCTGCAGATTTGACAAGCATTCCCTGCACTCCCTCATCCATGTTATTAATCAAAATATTGAAGAGCACTGAACACAGGAGTTAGCCTTGGGGTGCCAGCTTTTAACCTCCTCCCAGTTGGAGAAGGAGTAATGAATCATCACACTCTGAGTCCGATTCTGTAGCCAATTATGTATCCACCTGACACTTGATCTATTCTGCCCACACCTAGTTAGCTTGCTAATTAGGATATTGTGGGGCACTTTGTCAAAATGTTTGTTGAAGTCATTATATATTATGTCTACAGCATTCCCTCTGTCTATCAGGGAGGTTACCCAATCAAAAAAATGAGATCAGATTAATCTGGCAGGATTTGTTATTGACAAATCCATGTTGGCTTCTAGTTATTACTGTTTTGTTTTCTAGGTGCTTGCATAGTGACCACTTTATAATTTTTTTCTGGTATTTTCCCTGGGATTGACGTCAGGCTGATTGGCCTGTAGTTACCAGTTTTTTGCCCTTTTTTGAAGAAAGGGACAACATTAGATCTCCTCCAATCATCACCCATTTCCCACGATTTCAAGAAAAATAATGGACAGCGTTTCTGAGAGCCCTTCAGCCAATTCCTTCAGTACCCTCGCATGCAGTTCATCTGGCTTTGTAGATCTGAATTTGTTCACGATAGTAAGGTATTTCTTGACTATTTGTTTATCAATCTCCAACTGCATTCCTGTCCCTTCCCCTTGCACTTCAAAGGCTATCCCTGATTATGTGTTTTTTTGTAGTGAGATTAATTCTTTTTGTATCCACGACAGATTATGTAGACCTTCACATTGATCTGTTCATTCTAACTTCATTAACCTTTGAGTTTTTTATCCAGTCTACCATCCATATTAAACCTGCTGCTTGATAGTATAATTTAACATTAACCCTCCTCTTTTCTTATAATCTTGTAAAGCAGCGATTTTTGCTGCACGGATTAACATTGCTAAGTGAGGCACCACTGCCAGTCTTTGAATTTTTTCCTCTGAATTATAATTGGAATAATTTGAAACAAGAAGTTAATTTTTGCAAAAATATTCATTTTTATTACTGATATTTTTCCTAGCCAGGTGAGTTTTAGCCTAGCCCATCTTCTTAGATCTTTTTGAATTTGTTCCTATGCTTGTTCATAATTATCCTTATACTGTACAGTGTTTTATTATTTCCTGTTAAGTAAATACCTAGATATTTTATTGGTTTATCCATGAGTTCACACTTTGTATTTTTTATGTTATCCTCTTGTTGTTTCATTAGAAATTCTGATATAAATTTGAGTTTTTTTGCCTATTTATTTTAAAGCCTGAGTGGAGTCTAAGCTTTGCTATATTTTCCATTATCCATCGTATTGAGCTTTTTAAATAAATGCTTTGCCGTGTTGGCTGCAAGAGCCAGGACATGAATTTATAATCCAGCAGAACTAGATGGAGGCAGTCTGAGGAAGGCTACTCAATGTCTATATTTACAAATGTCTCCAAAGTTATATGAACACAATAGGTACTAAAATCTTGCTAATAGCTGCACGCTGCCCACAGTTCTTCCCACCAGTTTGGGAAGTAGTGGTAGTGAAGGTGATAGTGATGGAGCACATGTAACGATACCTTGTGTCAGTTCGGGGGCTTCAGCTACGTAGGTCAGGCGGAACTTGCTTCTCTTCCAGCTCCGATCATTGCTGATGAGGGAGTTGTTGGCCATCTCAATGTTGACATCATCACCCACACAGAACACATCGCATGCTGCCTATGGGAGACATCTGGTGTCAAGACAAAGCAAAACAGCTGGGCCCGCACCAGCATCCTCCACCCCATCTCAGTGGTGCATGAATGTGCTTGCAATGGGCACCTATCCATGGAGCAAGCACTGCAGACAACTGGGTAGAAATAAAGAAATTAGTCCATTTCTAATCAGTGTCCATTCTGTATTTGTTTTGGTCAGTTTGCTCATGAAAATGTAGATGAAGGATATGGCAATCTCTCTCTCTCTTCTTATTTCTCCTAATCCCATGTACATTTCCTTCCTATCCTTGTTTTGAATTGTAGGACATACTTTTCTTCCTGCACTGAAATGCGCAGGCATTTCCCCCTGTATTTTCTCTATTGCATGCATTTATCTCTGTTTTATCTCATTTACACCTTTCCCCATTGATGAATGCATATTTTGAATTGCCTTGTCTTGACTGTCATGGGCATACAAGGGCTGTAATCTTATTTAATACAAGTTAAACATCTACCAGATAAGCTTCAGTGAACTTTTCTTGCTGCTGCATATGACAGTTTAGAATGATAATTTCCCACACACTAGCTGGAATTTTCACTTTCTCTTTTCTGCTTATCTATCTTAGTAACCACTGAAAGCACCAAAGGGATCATATAAAATTAAGATGTTGTTGCTCTGCCTAGAGTTTCCATCACAGAGGTGAGTGTGTAAAGGGATCTGTGAATCAATCACAGAAACAATGCCACATAGTAAGAGGCCTTTTGTCCATTACGGTGCTGGAGAGAAAAGCTTTATTATCTGTATTCATTCATTATCACTAATAAAGTTATAAAGTTAAAAAAATGATATTGTTTAAAATTCAAAATTTTGTCTTATTTATTTTATCACATCTCAATGAGTTTTTAACCTGACTGACAGAGGCACTGAGTGCAAGAGCTCTCAAGGTAAAATATATACACAATGTGTGTACATCATTTCTCTATAGCACTCCATTAATCTGAAAAAATTATAAATTCTTTTCGCAAGAAGCCTTAGGAAGAAGTAAAATGCTACTTTTCCTGAGCCGGCTGACACGCCTTCCCATCTCTGACTGATTTCTTTTTTCTTTTTCAATGCACAAAAATGCAGCAGTGCAGTCAGCTGATGCTCAAGGAACTGATAGATGTTTAGCCCAAGAGGAAACATGGGTAATTTTTTAGCCTTCCAGAACTTGCACACTGAAGCAATGATTTCTAAGGCTGGCCCTGGGGCTGAGACACACCTCCCCAACCCCAAAAAGCCCCCTTTCACCCAAGAGGCAAAAAAAAAAATTAATTAAGAAGGCTACCTTGAAGACTTTCTTGGCCCACGTCCTGAAGGACTCCTCCTGTCCACAGAGTTCATCCCCCTCACCCATCCGCAGGATGCGTTCCCCTCCCAATTCTTCCAAGAGTGTGTCCACAGCACGGGCAAAGGCACAGAAGTGAGGGTAGGCCCGTGACCCCAGGCCAAAGACGGAGAATCTGCAAGCAAGCAATTAGGCAGAGAGGTTGCTGGAAGTGGCCGGTGGCCAAGCAGAGCTAGCAAGAGGGCAGAGGAGGTCATTCTCCCCTGTCCAGAGGTCAAATGCAAGGGAAGATTTTTGCCTCTCTGAAGTCAGGGTGGGACAACAGGCTCAGTGGTGTAGCAAAGCCAGGAATCACAGGGTTGCAGCAGCAAGAACTGCTGGATAGCTCAGTGGTTTAGGCATCTGGCTGCAGAGCCAGAGTTTGGGAATTCAATTCCCCACCGTGCTTCCTTGACTTGATGATCCGTAAGGTCCCTTCCAGCTCTGCAGTTCTAAGATGAATCCCAACTTTCGATAGCTTCTAACATTTTCAAAAACCATAGGATGGAGACAAAGGAACGGTCCCATAGAAATGACCTTTTCAACTGTAGGCAGCTTGATTCTCAGCCCTGATTCAAACCAGTACAGTATCTCTGGATTCCCCTTGCCTTTAAGAACTGCCATACTGAGCACCTGCAGTTCAGAATTTACCCTTGCACCAGTGGATATGCTGCTGTATCCAAAACATTAACGCTCGGGAGCCTGCAGATTTGTCACCTGAACTCTGCTCGACCTTGTTCCACCCGGTTCGCTTCCAATGACGTGCAAGCTCAGCCTTCCCTGCTCACCTGACGTTGGCCAGAGGACCAGCACTCTCAAAGTGATCCCTGGCATCTGGGCCGTCCGTGGAGCATTTCCGAGCATCTGAATAAGAGGAGACGCTGTTGAAACGCACTTTGTAGCTCCTGTAAACAGGATTGAAGCAGAATTAGAATCACTAACACGGAAGAAATGGAAGACAGTGTGGGTGTGTGCACGTTTCACCTGCACATAAGGAGTGCAACTGAACTGCCAGGATCTTTGGGTTAATAAAGACAATTGTCTCACGTAAGGAGGCACTAGGTGTTTTATTGGGGGGACCTGAGAGACAACAAGCACACCAGAAAGACGTGGGCTCTGAAAAGTCTTCCTGCTAGCAGTATAGCTGCCGCATACTGCCCTTGCTGAGCTGAGAGGCACGGGAGAAGTGTTTGTCGAGCTCCATTCTCTGTCTTAAATAGTTTTAAACAACTCCCAGCATTTCGAATACTTTGCTTCTTGTTACCTTTTTAGCTATTTTGCCTTCTCAGCTTTTTCTCAGCTTTTAGCTAGCTTTTGATGTTTAGCTCTTTGTTTTTGTTGTTGTTTTCTTTTTTTGGACACCGACCTTCCAGAAAGGGTGGGGGGAGGTGGTGGAGAGGACGCCAAGATAAAATATAGTTTTATCCCTCTTTCTCTCTCTTTCGAACAACAACTACTGCTGTATTTAACCAGAAATGGAAGGTTTGTGAAACAGATAAAACCTTCTGCTAAGAAAGGCGGACAAGAAAGATTCCCTGGTATCAATTCGATCAAGGTAGACCACAAGACCACGATCTACTTCTGCGTAAGGTAGAACCAAGTGGGACAGACAGTGCAACTCCCAGATGGATTTGCAGCTGGATGACCAGCCACATTCAACAGGTGGTCCTCAATGGAACCACATCTACGTGGAGGGAAATGTCCTTAAAGGGGCTGAGCAGATTAATACAAAGAATCTTCCTGCAAGGCCCGAAGAGAGGCAGAATGCCCAGGCACAAACAAAAAGAGGCTCAAACTCACTAATCCTTGATCCAACAAGTATTGTTCTGTGTATTTTCCCATACCAGGTCAACCACATTGATTGGGCCTCCAAGTGGGAAGCAAAGAGAAATCTAGCCTTCCTTTTAAATACCATACTAGAGACGATGGATCTATTAAACCTTAAGGGGTCATCAGGACCAAATTCACTGTGAACACTTCCTGTTAAAACTGTGAACAAAATGAATTCATGTTTGAAAACGCTTGCAAATATTAGGAATTAGAACAGAAAGATATTTCACGAACACCACAATCCAGAGGATAGGGACATTATCAAAAGGAAGAGGCCCAAAGGGACAATTGAGACGTCCAACAAAGACAAAGCTAGTCTCTAAAACCATTCCAAATTTATTGGATCAATCTACTCCTGCTAGCCTGCCATCAGCTTTAGAAGCTGAGGATGCTAAAACTCCTACTATCTCACTCTTTACAGGACAAATATCTCCTACAGACATTGACCATGCACTAAATGGAGACACCACGGGAAATAATTGACCAGAGGAGGAGACAGTAGCCAGGCTGTTATCCTCTTTCTGTTCCCTACCAAGAAATGATCAAGATTCGATGATTAATCACATGGGAGGTTTGACGTCAGCTCTGAAATATCTAAAATGGCCAAGTCCTGGAAAAGGGAACACAAAGATCTACCTGCTGACCTCCCCATCAAGGTGTGCAGTAATTTTGGGAGCGGTTATGCAAAGGGGAGCAGTTTTATCTGTATAAAACTAGAGAGTTTGAATATGGTGGATTTGGGGTGGCTGTCAGCGACAGCCTTGGAGACCATGAACTTAAACCACAAACGGTCTCATTATTATCATGGAATGTTAAGGGATGGGCGGGTAGAATGAATGATTATAGTATGCATAGGTATTTAAGTAAACATGACATTATATTGGTACAAGAGACCTGGTGTACAGAGACTCTAGCACTAGATGGATAAAAAAGTCTTTGATTTAACAGCAGAACTCTCTAAACATGGAAGGCCCGGTGTGTGTGTGTTAAGTATCCTAATTGCTACCTCACTAAATGTTAAAATAGATGAGTTACCCTCTTATTCTCAAATAGCAATGGCGATATTATTATACTATTAATGAATCACTTGTGTCATAATAATGTATATTTTATTCCAATGAAGACAAACATTCAAATAGAGACTGAGTGGAGAAATCTGGAAAAATACCTTCGGCAAACAGTATTAAAAAACCCAAATGCATGTATTATTCTAAGAGGAGACTTTAATGAAAGAATAGGCATGATGATAACAGCCTGTTTAATAGTAATAAGATATGCCCTTTCAAATTAGATACATGTTTTGTCTGTCCACAGGATGTCCAAAGATCATAAAGTGAATTGTACTGTCATATGCTAACACAGACATCCAGCAAATTGAACCTTTGTATACTAAATGGGTCCTCTCCAAATGATCATCCTGCAGAATTTACATACTGGTCTGGTGAGAGCATGAGTATTGTAGATTACATCATAGACTCTGAGAATATGATACAATACACTAAGTTTTGTGATTATCAGGGCAGTGATCACCTACCTCTTAACATGTTATTTGACTTACCATGTTTTAATCCACGTATAGAGGATCACTATAAAGAGTTGCTAGTTGGGGGAAAGCTGTGGGAGTAGCTAAATGGAACGACAGGACAGAAAACAGGACTGGGATTTTACAAAAATTCTCAGATGTTGAGAATCCGAGCTATGAGCAGTTAACTCAAGAAATGTATAGGGCCATAAATGAAGTAAATAAGCATCACAATAGAATAAATAAATACTATTCTGCACTCTGGTAAGATAGGGAGTGCAGCGAAGCTCCCCCCCCCCAAAAAAAAAAACAGCTAGGAGTCAGCTATACTAGACAGAGAAATAATTTAGAGGAGATTCCTCTACTAGCTTTAAAACAACAAAAAGCACAATATAAAGCCCTTCTCCTACGCAAGAAAAAAGAAGCAACCGGAAGGACACAGAGTCAGCTAAGCCAAGCAGTTAAACCTAAGAACACCTCTTTTTTTCTAGCATCTTGTGACTGACTAGCCAAATAGATCTCCCTCAGCACTGAATAATTATATACTACCAGAAATGCATGGCAATTCCAAAACTGAAGAAGTAGAAACTGATGATGTGGGAAATTTGCCACAGTGGCCACCTGTGAATCCCACAGAAGTGAAGAACCTTAATGGGCAAAGCACTGGGTATTGATGCAATGACCTCTGAATTAATAAAGAAAAACTCAGATTGCTGAGTACCAATAATAACAACCCTATTTATAGCAATTGATAAAACTGGGAGAATTCCTAGGTATTCGGGGTTTGCAATCATTGTCCCTCTATATAAGAAAGGCAATAAAAAGCTACCATCAAACTACAGACCTTTTACTTTACTTAATACATTAAATAAATTATATGCAAAACATCTGCAGTGGAAATTAAGAGACTGGCTTGAACAAGAGAGTTGTCTTCCCTATTTACAGCAATTGATAAAACTGGGAGAATTCCTAGGTATTCGGGGTTTGCAATCATTGTCCCTCTATATAAGAAAGGCAATAAAAAGCTACCATCAAACTACAGACCTTTTACTTTACTTAATACATTAAATAAATTATATGCAAAACATCTGCAGTGGAAATTAAGAGACTGGCTTGAACAAGAGAGTTGTCTGGCAGAGAAACAGGGAGAGATTCACTTTTTGCCAATGTATGATATTGGAACATTTAATAACAAAATACTCTTCTAAGACCACCATGATCCTATATGCAGCATTTATTGATTTTAAAGCTGTCTTTGATTCAGTATCTAGAAATATCATTTTGGGTAAATGAAGGGACTCAACTATAGATAAACGTCTTTTATTTCTGATTTGAGCTTCATATAAAAATAAAATAATACGAATCAGAATGAACCCACAAGACCATCTTAAAGATCCTATAAAAACAGAGAAAGGGGTAAAACAGGGATGCATATTGCTATTTCTGTTATTTAACTTTTACATAAATGATATGGGAGCACAGTCGAACAATGTGGCTTATTACCCTCCAAAATTAACAATTAAGCATATTTCTATACTATAATATATTGATTATGCCATCTCTCTAGGACACTGATCGGATTAAAAAGAATGATGATGAACATTACTAAATATTATCAAAAAACCCAACTGAAGATAAATTATGATAAAACAAAGTTTATATCTTCTGCAGAAAAGAAATATTCTGCCTTGCTTGTTGAGTTAATACATCACTGTTGTATTGTCCGTTGCTATTTGTACAACAGCCTTCGACTGTGTGGACCACAACAAACTATGGCAAGTTCTTATAGAAATGGGAGTGCCTGACCACCTCATTTATATCCTGAGAGATCTACATGTGGGACAGGAAGCAACAGTTAGAACTGGATATGGAACAAGTGATTGGTTCAAAATTGGGAAAGGAGTACGACAAGGCTGTATATTGTCCCCCTGCTTATTCAATTTATATGCAGAATACATCATGTGAAAGGCAGGACTGGAGGAATCCCAAACTGGAATTAAGATTGCGGGAAGAAATATCAACCACCTCAGATATGCAGATGATACCACTCTGATGGCAGAAAGTGAGGAGGAGTTAAAGAACCTTGTAATGAGGGTGAAAGAGGAGAGTGCAAAAAACGGTCTGAAACTCAACATCAAAAAACCTAAGATCATGGCCACTGGTCCCATCACGTCCTGGCAAATAGAAGGGGAAGATATGGAGGCAGTGATAGATTTTACTTTCTTGGGCTCCATGATCACTGCAGATGATGACCGCAGACACGAAATTAAAAGACGCCTGCTTCTTGGGAGGAAAGCGATGACAAACCAAGACAGCATCTTAAAAAGCAGAGACATCACCTTGCCGACAAAGGTCCGCATAGTCAAAGCTATGGTTTTTCCAGTAGTGGTGTATGAAAGTGAGACCTGGACCATAAAGAAGGCTGACCGCCGAAGAATTGATGCTTTTGAATTGTGGTGCTGGAGGAGACTCCTGAGAGTCCCCTGGACTACAAAGGGTACAAACCTATCCATTCTGAAGGAAATCAACCCTGGGTGCTCACTGGAAGGACAG